GTAAGTGGGCAAGAGATATGAACAGAATCTTCTCTGATGAAGACAGAGGAATGGTGAACACATACATGAAAATATACTCTTCATCCCAAATCACAACCACCCTGAGATATCTCACCTAACCCTGGTGAGAATAGCCCATATTACATAGTCCCAGAGCTGCAGATGGTGGTGATGGTGTGGAGAGAGGGCAACGCTTTTATGCCATTGGTGGGATTGCGAACTAATGCTGCCTCTTTGGAAAGAAGAATGGAGAATCCTTAAATTGCTAAATGTAGACATTCCGTTGATCTGCAGTCCTATTTACTAGATATCCACCCAGAAGAAAAAAAATCATTTTTGTCATCAGGACATTTGCTCTAGAAGGTTCATCGCAGTGAAGTTCAGTCATCAGCAACTGCATATTGAGCTCTTACCCTGTGCCTGTCAACGCCTTAGTTCCTGAAGACAGCTGTGAATCACACAAGCAAATATCGTTGCCCCTGTGGTGCTAATATTCTCTTGTTTCTGTTTGCCAGTCCCCTGCTATCTTAATTACCTTAGCATCGTAAGTCTAAATATCCAGAAAGGCAAGTTCAACTGTCGTGTTCTTCTATAAAATTGTCTTGTTTTTTCTTGTTCCTTTATTCTATCATTTGAATTTTATAATCATTTTCAAATTCCATGAAAAATACTGTTGACTAGATGGATGACTTTTATTGCCTTTCCAGCTCTGTAAATCTTTGGTACTCTTTCCACAATATTATATCTTAAGATATAATAGATATTTTAAATCTAGATATTCAATAGATAAAATAAGATATTTTAAATATAATGAAAATTATATTTTAAGATTAATAGCTAAATGCCATTAATAATATAGGCCTTTTTAGTGATTTTTTTTTGAAAGGTAATTACTATGAATGAATCAGACTTTCTGCAAGATATTTTTCAAATGGTCTTTGGCCTTCTGATCTAGTGATTAGCTCTCCCTCTTTGTGGTCTACTAACCACACAGACCTAGGATCTGTGGGGACTCCTTGATTAGGCATGGGGCATGCGTGTTCCTCAACTGCAGGGCTTTTTGATGAAGTTCTGTTTTAGAGCTGTATTTTAGAGTAGCTTAGTTTCAATGTCTGTGTGGAATTTCAAATGGCCCAATACTTCTACTATCCACCAAAAGGAAAGGGAAAATTTGGCATGAACAGAAGACTATCTTCCAAGCACTTATTGGATAGTAGGGAGAAGTATTGTTAGCAATTTCTCAGCATGGGAAGGGGAAGAAAAGGAGCCTACCTCTGTCTCTATGTCTTTCTCTCTCTCACAAATAAGCATGCAGATGTATTTGTGTTTTACATGTTTAGTGTTTAGGTTATTCTATTTTCTATTGGACTAATTTGTTAGTATGTGGTAAAGGCCTACTTCGTCAGTTCACAATATTATATAATAAAGCAGTAAACACAGATCAAGCTCCTGAAATGTGGTTGATTTGGCCTCTGGAAGTTGGTTTGTATTCATTTATAGACGGCTTTTGCAGGTTTTGACATACTAGATAAGAGATACTCAACTAGGGAGACGGTAGCCATTAAACACACTGGAACAGAATTTTTAAAGTAGTTGTTCTTATTTGGTCCTTTTTGCTTTTTCTTTTAAGTGTATGTTTGAGAAAGGGGGAGGTTGACATTGTGGTTCCTCATCTTCGAAAGATTTTTTTTAGAACTAAATCATAATAACTTGATACTGGCACAGACTGAAATTTGTGACAATCCAAGTCTTTTTTCTAATTCTGTCATAAAGCAGTATGAATAAAATGTAATGTTAAAAATAGTCTGCCTTGAAAAAGTGTTGTATTCCTAAAGGGAACTTTTTAGAATCTATTTAAATATCTATTTGTATAAGGACAAAAACTATAATAAAAAATGTGCAGTATGAAAATGGAGCCACCTGTTGGCGGGTAAAATAATACTTTGTATCCTAAAATAGTTACATTTCTTACACTTGAGAAAAATGAAAGACAACAGTATTTGAAACAAACATTTTTACTCAAACATTGATGTTTCAAGACATTTTACATATAGTTATGCAGTTTGTGGTTTGGGAAGGTTTCTATATATTTTGAGGAAAAACACAGGGTGGCCATCAAGTTAAAAGTAAACTATTTTGAATTGCACAGTAACTTTATGGCCACCCTATATATGCATCTCTGCTAGAAAACTAATATTTCAAATTATTTATTAGGAAGTCATATGCTTTTCTTATTTGGCCAAATTTCATGCTTTAAAATCTTCTAGATCCACTGACAGTAAGTATGAGGGTTTTCTTTCTTTTTTTTTTTTTAAGTAATACATCAAATCAGGAAATTTTGGATAACACTTCAGTACTCTGATTCTAGGAAATTGAGCTTCATTCTATATGACAAGTAATTATTAGTATTAACGTATGATGTGCTAGGTGAGCCTGCTTCCTACTCCACAGCATTTCCGCATCACGCCCCGTCTGGAGGACCTGGGTGCTTCCTCATCTTTAGCTTTCTATTTCTCTTCTCTGAGATCTTATATGTTACAGTGAGACCCATGAAAGCATCTTTAGTTGGTGAAAGCCCTATTTCTGCACTCTGGTTAGTATGGTTTGCAGGTCTCCATTCAAAGCATTGAAAACTATCTTGCAAGACCGTGTAGGAGCTGTTTCCACTTCCAGTGAATTTGGTTTCAGTCCATGATGAGATTAGCATCATTTAAATTTGTGAGAATTCCAAGAAGATGTGGATGGCTGCTAGACCCCTCCGCTGGAGTTCGTGGGCGTTCTTGGTTTAGATACAGTGTGAAATTTTTAGTGCCAGTAAATCTCTTTCCGTGTCCTGATCTAAGCTTTTCTATGTATTTTAAGGAAAGCATGGTAAGATATCCCAGCCTTGCTCACGTATTCCAAGTCAGTTTTCTTTTGTAGTATCACTCTTGTGGGACTAACTCTGGAGAAACTACGTGACATTTTTCTATCAGATATCTAGGAATTTGTTCCACTTTATGGGAGTAAAGAAACAGAGCGTGTAGTCACAGCTTTGCTGCTGATTACTACCTACTGTCCAGTTGTTCATAAGTCAATTTTTATCTCTTGTTTTTATTTTGTTAATCTAAGAAATGATGCAGTGTTACTAGACACATTATTTCTTGGGTTTTGTTTAACTGTCACCTTCCCGGTGGCTTTCTGTTGCTTCTGTGACAATAACTGTGAAGGCAGGGGACATTCTGTTCTCTGTTGTGCTACTGGTGCTATTTGCCTGTGAAATTTTATTTTATTTTAATTTGTGTGAGTGATACTTCTCTTGTAAACGTTTAAAAGGGGAAGACAGTGTTCCGTTGTCACGTATACTATATTTAGCAGTAAGACGCAGCGCTGTTGTACTCCTTTACAAGTGAATATTTTACTGATGTATGTATAAAAATACATTGTTTCCTCAAGAATATTATTTCATGTCTATTGAACACTTACTACATAGCAGAATAGTACCAAGCACTGGACATAATAATGAACAAAACATAATTCCTGCCCGTAGGGCACTTTCCATATAATGATTTTGGGTTTGGTGGCCTTCTAATCAGCGCTGACGATATTCCCGTATCCCCTGGCATTAGCTCATGTCTTCTTTTATAGGAGTGTCAGCCTGAGATAAGTCACTTCTTGACAGCCTTGCTTTTGGTGATAATAGTAAATTTCATTGTTCTTTTAGGGTCAAGAAAGTATATTTCTACGATCTAGTGAAGATGGCATATACATCTTTTAGAGCACGATATATTTCTGAATGATGAGAAATTAATTTTTTCATGGGTTGGTATATTGTGGGAGAGTCATAAATGAATGAAGCACAGGTTGAGCTTGACACATTTACAGAGACCTTGAAGCAAGAGAAGAACCGTTAAATCTACTGAGAATGGTTCTTAGAATAATTTAAGAGACAGTATGGGTGTTTTGTATCCTTGAAAGCTCTTTGAATGGCAACTTTATATACTAGATTATATTGAACTTTTCCTTACTCAGCTGTTTGTCAGAGTCCAAGAATTGTTTTATTCCTGAATTAAGAAGTCTGAGGTCCCATCGTGCTCACTTTTACATATCTTTGCCTCTGTATGACATTGGAAGAAAATGTGTCATTTCAAAAATATGGCTTCTTTATCCATCCAAGTTTACTAGTGTCAACATCTGGCACTTTTGTGGCTTTATAGTTATAAATATATTTCACTGTTTTTCACTAGATAAGGTATCTGTTACAGAGAAGGCAAAGACTTATAAATCTACTTCATTATGTCCAAAAGATAATCCAGCAGACATATTTACACAGGCAAGTTCCTCGGGCTGCTTTTGACAAGGGGGAAGTGGGTGCTGTAAAGGAATTTTACAGGATAGCTAACTTAGCACAGAAAAACAAAGTTTTTCTTTGGGGCCGTGGTGTTTTATTAGGTCAAAGATGTGTGAGTTACATATGCTTCATGAGGCCTTGACTGAAAACTATTGTAAATTAAATACATTCACATAGACATTAATGTGTTACTTTTACTTAAATGTAAAAATGTATCTTTAGTTTAATATTAATATTGTCATAGTTTTTCCATTTGTGTAAGTAAACTTATAAGTTCTGCCAAAAAACTTCAAAGTTTATTAGAAAGTTTCATTGTAATTTCAGGTAATTGCACTGAGAATATAATTTATTAGATATTTACATATATCAAAGTCCTTATGTTAATCTCAAATGTCATTATATCAGTGTTTTTTTAAAGGCAATTATTCTAGCATAAACTGTACTTTTTTGAATAAAATGATTGTCATAATCAGCCCATTGTAACATTCTAAACACTATTCCTGAAATGTCCTGCGATGTGAAATAAAAAAGATAATGATAATGAATCTAATGGTAGGGGACTAATGCAGGTATAAAAAGATATGTCCATTGATACATTACTTTTATAGCTCTTGATCTTGTGCAGAGGCTTTTTACTTTACTTCTATTACTTCTTACCTTTTCAAAACAGGGATGTGAGCTTATTTCGACTCCTGATCAAGACCTGACTGACTTTACCAAGTGCCTTCAAATGCTCCAGAAGAAGATAGATGAAAAGGAACTAAAGGTGAGGTACGCACCTATCTGGTGCTTTGGGGTCTCAATACTGAGGTTGTGAAAGCTCCTAGTCACAGTTTCTGCTCATCTGCAATGGATAGTTACTTCAGTGCTATGTTTGGAATTTTTGTCAGGATTTTTCCTGCATATCAAATAAATCTATACTTAGCTGAGCAAATAGTAGTTTGTACATTTATATCAGGGGTTACAAATTTAAATATCTTTTAGTGACAAGGTCATAAAATGGGTTAACTGGACCACGTGTATGGCACTTAAAACAGGAAACTCATGCTTGGCCTAAAATAACTAGCTTCTGAATCTCTAGTTCATTATCGTCAGGCAGAAGTATATGTGTTTTTGTAAAAATGCCTATTTATATATTGTATGGGAAACACAGACAAACAAATATGGCCTTACTTTGGCCTATGTATGGCAGACTCATGTAGAAAAATATAAAATGTCAACTTTATTTTGTTTTTAATGCCTCAGAAGAGTCTACTGTTTTGCATTTGTGTCCTCTTTAAGGTATCAGTCATTTTTACCTAGCATTTGAATGTTTAATCACATTAGTTAATACACAGGTTTATATTTTACTGTATTTTTTATGCCTGCAGAAATGATATGCAAAGTTTTATAAATATGTTTAATGAAGGTCTATAAAATTAAAGCTGAGGCACTGAACAACGATTGACCTTTCTTTTTTTCTGGCAAGGACAATAAGTTTTATGTTTGAGATGCATGCTCAGTTGCATATTTTTTAACCAAGAAAATTAGGAAAATATCTTTGTCTATTAAAAGGGCTCAGGTAGCACAAGTGAGAGAAAATGCATTTCACCCTCTGTAATAACCAAGTGAGGTAGGGCAGTATTGAGACACAGCCCAATTCAAATTCATGCTGTTTCTTATTTTTATGATTTGTAAGAATATTTAATAACCTTTTAAGTAAAAGAGAGAAGCAGTAAAAAGGTTTTAAAATTCATTATACATACACGTGCTGCTCAGCTTACAATGGGGTTATAACCCCATAAACCCATTGTAAGTTGAAAATATCTAAGTCAATAATGCATTTAATATACCCATCCTACTAAAAATCATCCATTACTCAGCCTTCCTTACATGGCTCAGAACACCCTACATTAGCCTAGTGATGAGAAAAACCATCTAACAAACAAAGCCCATTTTATAATCAGCTGTTAAATATCTCATGTAATTTATTAAATACGGCACTAAAAGTGAAAAAAAGGGTTGTCTGGCTTCCTTCTCTGTTTCACTGATTCATCTGTAGGCTTTGTCTTTGGACTGGTTTCCCTGGGTGTCTCCAGTTGCCTCCTGCAGCAGTTTTTTCCCCCCACACATATAGGAAGCTTAAGGCTTGGACCATCACCTCCCACCATCATCAGATTTCTCTGATCTTTCCGTTAAGCCATTCTTGGTTTTAGCAAAGGAATATGAGAGAATCCTGAATGTCTCAGACTCAAGTAGCAAGTAGGATCCATCCACATGGCTCGTCTATTCAAACTGGGGCTAATACCTATCCGGCAGATGGGATCAGTGTCAAAGAGGCAACTCTAATAAAAATTTATACTCCAGCAAAAGTTTATTAAAGATCTCATCTAGCACGTATTTACAAAGTTGATGTAGGAAATCCCTTTCTTCTTTTGATAAAAAACTAAGTAGCTCAGTCTGCAAACTCTGCAAAGTAATCGAGCAAACATTTCTCATCTCTGTTGTAGCTGAACTATATCAAATGTATTGTGCTATTTCCAGCGGGAAATTATTGTCATTAAACATTTCTCTAATGAATACAGAAAAACATCCAATTGAGAGTTATCTATCTCATCCAGTTATGGCTGATTTGGAATTTCTTAGAAAAAAATTGTAAATCTCCACAGCTGTGTTTCCATTTTTACAGCACCTCTATTGAAGTTATTGAAAGCTGAGAATGCAATTATGTGAGTCTCATTTGTTGTAGCTGATAGTATCTGTATTCAGTCATGGAGCCTTAAAATAAGTAATCATATCTCAAACTCAACAAGACTCATATTCAGAGAAAGCCTCAGATTAGGGGAAGAAGGTGTGATCTGCAAAGCAGATCTGACAATGTCTTGGCTAATGCAGAGAAGCGTCCTGAAGCAAGTGTGTCTCTTAGAGGACTCCTGCCTTGGGCAGAAATAGAAACAACCTTGGACTTTACCTGGGCTTAGTTGTAGACTCCAGGGTGCTCCAGAGAGGCATGAGGGTGGCTCACAGGTTGTCAGGGAAGAGCACAGATTGATGGCTTGATGTGCTGCGTCCTAAAGGGGTTGCCACTGAGAGATGACAGGTCACTGGCCTCCCCACAGCCTAACAGCAAGTTCTTTATCGGAGGGGAATCCATGAATTGCACGGCCAGGGCTGCACAGGCCCCGATACACTTTGGGCTTGGTGTGTTCCCCAGCCCCACCCTGCACCAGTCTTTTGCCCTGTTCCTAAAATATGCCATATTCCCTACTCTCTCCTGTCCTAAGGTGTTTTGACATGTTTTCCCCTCTGGCTAGAGTTCTATTTTTCCTTCTCTACCTAAACCAGAGTTTGGCCAATTTTCTTTAACTATCGCTGTGGTTAGATTCAGCTACTGTGCATTTCCACACATCCCTTAATTTCTCTGTTAGGGTACTCTGAATCACTTTGTTAATTATTTCAAATTGTTTTCCCAAATTTGTTCTTCCTACCTTGACTGTACAGCCCATGAAGCCAGAATTGGGTCTCTTTGTTCAGGACCTGACGGCAGTACTTTGTACATAAAAGGTGCTCCCTGAAAGTTTTGTGTTTTATGCTTTGTAGGAACACAGGAGAGTAGAACATAATACAGTTAAGAGAAAGTTTTGGTAGATAAGCCTGAGAGTTAACAAATAAATAGGAACCAGATGCAAAGGAGGGAATAGTGTTTCTGGAAGTGCTGCAGTTGCACAGATGTGGGTGGCACTTGTAGGAGGGCAGAACTCCACTGCTGTCCTCTGGGGGTCCAACTGGGTCCAAGAATTAAATTGACAGACAGATTAACAGGAGCAAAGCATATAAGTTCATTTAATATAAATTTTACATGTCCTGGTATCTCTCAAAAAGAAATGATGACCCAGAGAAGCACTTAGAGCAGGGATGTGGAACCTGCGGCCAAACTCAAAATTGTAAACTTACTTAATAACACTATGAGATTTGGGGGGTGACTCTTTTGGTGGAACTCAGTTACAGAGTTCTTCAGTGTGAACTTTGTAGATGACATTGTCATGGCACAGTGTCACATAAAGTAAACACAGTACACTCTTGCTATTGATATACACACGTGGCTCCAGTTTTAGGAGGTGTGCAGCGTCTAGTGTGTTACGCACCAAGCCAGACAGTCGAACAGATTAGATGTTACCTGTGCTCCTGGCTGCTTGGTGAGGCAGCGATTATCATTGCAACGTTGGGCATTTAGTGCTGTTTAGAAGTCAGGAAAGCATTCACATTTGATTATTAACAGACTTCCACACCTTAGCGGTGCCTCACCCGCCATGGTTTACAGTCGGCCCCCTCTTTGTGTTGTATCAGCAGCTGACACGTGGAAGAGCCCAAACCTTGCTTTCTAATTTTTTGTCAACTAATTTTCATAATAAAAGTAAATATAATCCATTATCTGTTATGTATTGTAATCCCAGCATGGCTTGTAAAACATCTCAAAGAAAACAGAACCCCCAAAAGGAAAAATTACAAATGAAGGAAGATTTGTTTAACGAAAAGTAGTCAGATGACAACTTTTTATTGAGGCAAAAGATGGAAGGGCAACATTGTGTTTTATGTGATGTCAAAGTAAGAGAACAGCGAGATTAGAAAGAAAAATGATACAAGATACCCTCCGCACATCCTCCTACTATATGTAGTAAAAACTCTTACTATAAAATAAAAAGTTACAATGCAAATAAATGTAAAATGGTATTTAATATGTTAAGTAACTGTATTGTATAACATATTAGAACTTCATATAATTTGAATTAGGTTATGTCCTGATCCTGAAGGAGTATAATATCAAGAACATGAGATTAATTTTTTAAAATTTCCATAAATTATCTTAATATTCCTGCATTTATCTATTTTAAAGTTAATCACCCTTAACTTGGATACTTCTGCGAAAGCCTGCTCTGATATGAGGGGCTTTGTAGTGCTTTGCTTTCATGCTGCCACATTGTTTATCTGTCACTGATTCATGAATAATGCATTAGCAGGGTGCCCTGTGATATGACTGAGTCTTCAAAGGACATGTATATTTTCTGATGCTGCGAAACACACTTGAGATCTCAACCTTGGGATTTTGTGGAAAACATTAAAAGTTCTTTCTCTGAGAGTCTAAAAATATACGATGCACATTCCTTACAATAAAGCAGAAATCTAGATTATAAAACCTTAAGAATAACAGAATGGGTCTCTATTTACTAGTGTTATGTGACAGCACAATCAGGCACTTCCAGTGCTCATATTTTAAACACAGACTTGATGTTAGACACAGTTTAGGCAGAAAAGGTGCCATTAATTTTAATCTGAATGTTTGAGCATTATAATTAGAGGTTAGGTGTTTAAGTGCGGAGGAAAGGCCTAGCACTCTCTCTAGCTGCGTGACAATAGAAAGCTATGTAAGTTCTTTAAGCGTCAGTTTTCATGTAAGTAAACACACTCATCCTCCCTAGCAGAGTGAATGAGGTAGAGCATTTCAGTGTCTGCCCCATATGAAGTCCTCATTTTAAAAAATGGTAACAGTGGTGGTGGTGGAAATACTCGGATACTGTTGTGCACCTTGTCTTCTGTGATCTTTAGGAGCAATGTATTTCATGGAATATAATATGAGTATATTCTTAGCAATCTCTTAAAAGTAGAGGGCAGCACCTGTGGCTCAAAGGAATAGAGCGCTGGCAGCCCCATATACCAGAGGTGACAGATTCAAACCCAGCCTCGGCCAAAAACTGCAAAAAAAAAAAAAAAAGAAAGAAAATAGTTAGA